TCAGTGCAGAGGGCATCAAACACCTCTACAGGCTGCCCCAATTAGAAAAGCTAAACTTCAATTACACTGATTTCTCAGACTGTGCCTTGGAAGGCATTGGGTCCTTGACTAGTCTCACAGACCTCTCTCTCTATCAGGCCAATGTGACCGATGCCGGACTGTCGCACTTGACACCTCCGTTCTCTCTCAAACACCTGCGGCTTGGTTATTGCAGTGGTGTGACAGATGCCGGCATCGTGCATCTGGTGAGGCTTACAGGGCTTGAGAGGCTTGATCTGGATGGCACGGCAGTCACGGATGATGGGCTGCAGCAGCTGACTGCCCTGACCAAGCTGACACATCTCTATACGCCTTGGCAGCTGAATGCGCCCCACCAATATGACAATTTCGTTTACACCAAGATGACAGATCTCTATACCTTGAAGTTGCCTATGTATGCAGACTTATAGGAAGGTATGGTAGGTTGGCAGGGAGCGATGTGGAAGGGAGGGAGATGAGTTGAGGGAAGAGTTGGCTGACTGGTATGAGGCAAGGGGACTGAAGCATGAGGGATGGAGCACATGGATGGCTATGCCAGTCAGAGGCTAGGCTCTTGTTCACAGTAATGAGCAACCTCCGTTTGATCTGCACGCAAACATGGGTAGTGGAAGCAAGGGGTGTGGATAATAGTGAAGACACGACCTATTTCTACACAGCCTGCCAGAAATGCGAATCGCTGATTAATAAACTTGTCCTTGCCGGGATTGTTACACGAGCAGGGGTACTGTAATTTGGTTGGCTGGTGTTGGGCTGAGGATTTCAGCCTTAGGATCTTTGCAGAGAATAGGCTAGTAGGTGCTAGAGTAGCACAGCGGAAGTCTTTTGAGTGAATGTACTTGTGCTGGTATGTGAGAACAAGTAATTGATTAAAGCAAAGAGCATACAGGAATATGTAGAAAAGATAGATTACAGGAAACGGTTATGTTTATCGAGACGCGTAACGCTTCGACTATTGAGGCGGTTACTGTTCACTGAAGTGTCGCTTGCTGTTACGTAACCTCCAGGCGGTTACAGCTCGCAACCTCCAGTTGCGGTTTTGATGTGGTACGCGCCTTTTCGACTTCATACTCCTTTTGTTATGCTTCAGTATCGGGTGAGGTTCGATACTACGGAAACGCACCAAGTCATGCGTTTATATTCCCAACACTCCCCTTCGTTTCTGGAGTGTCGACGTGGTCAGCTTCGGTGACGTGGCCCAATCCAGTGAGCAGCATGTAGTACTCGAATTTCCCCTTAGGTAGCTTCTTGGTGAGGTAATCTGCTGCCATCTCGGTGGTCGGGCAGTAGTCTAGCTGGAGTTTTCCCTTCTCAATTTCGTCTTTCACGAAGAAGTATCGCAGTGCGATATGATTGGTTTTGTTGGCGAAGCCGTTCTTGTTCGCGATCCGTATCGCGGACTAGTTGTCGCAGAAAAGCGAGAAGTTGGGTACCTTCGCAATTTTCGCTTCTTCCAGCAGTTCGCGCAGGTACAGACCTTCCTTGGTGGCGGTGCAGAGAGCAATATACTCTGCTTCAGCAGATGATAGTGCGACGAGTTCCTGCTTACTTGATTGCCAGGAGATAGTTCCGACGGGCTCGAGACGGTAGATGGAGCCGGTGCGAGAGCGACGATCGACACGATCAGCAGCGTGATCAGCGTCGACGTAACCGAGTAGTTTTAGATTGGTCATCGTGCTCTTGTGATACGTTAAGCCAACTGTTGGCATCGAGATGAAGTAGAGAAGGGCACGGTTGAGTTCTTTGAGGTGACGTTCTTCTGGGCGCTTGAGGTAGGTCGCTAGCTGGCTGGCGCTGTAGGATAAGTCCGGTCGGCACGTAACGGCGGCAAAGAGTAGGCAGCCCAGTTTCTGTTGATATTCCTGGATTCCAGCAGACGGCAGTGGGTTGGTTTCTTCGGTTGGATCGAGCGATAGGTAACTGTAGGGTGTTGCGGCGTACGTCGGTGTGATGCAGAAGCGTTCGGCGATAGTGCTTGCGTATTTTGAGGCGCTGAGACGAATTGCGTTGTTTTCGTCGAGGATGTTGAGCCCTAGGTACTGCGTGACGTTGGGTGAGACTGTGAGGGAGAGATCCGTCTGAAGCTCCTTCTCGAACCAGGTGACGATGGTGGTAGTTGACCCGATGTAGAGTAAATCGTCGACGTAGACGATGAGCAGGACGTAGTCGTTGTCGTGAGTGAGGCGATACATGCCCTGGTCATGGGGCAGTTGGTTGAATCCGATGCGTTTAAGTCGTGCGTTCATGTACTCCTGCCAGAGTCGCGGTGCCTGCTTAATTCCGTACAGTGATTTAAGTAGTTGGCAGACGAGGGAAGGGTCGTCAACGAATCCGTGGAGCTGTTCGACGAAGATTTCACCGTCGACTGGGGCGTAGAGATTAGCATTGGCGACGTCGATTTGTCGGAGTGGGCGGCGATGTGAGGCGGCGATGGCGAGGAGAATGCGCAGGGAAGTATGTCGAATGACTGGTGCAAAAGTTTCAGTGAAGTCGCAACCATACTCTTGGTCGAATCCGCAGACGACCCATCGAGCTTTAAATCGTTCGATGGTTCCGTCGGAATTGGTTTTGATCCGGAATACCCATTTTCCGGAGAGAATGGGTCTGTCTTGTGCGAGTGATGCAGGGACGATCTTCCAGGTGTTTCGGTCTGACAGAGCTTTTAACTCCTTTTCCATGGCTTCGCACCATTTTTCTTTGTCTTCCCCCCTCAGAGCCTGCTTGACAGAGCGAGGCTCTTCAGGTGGCGTCGAAGGCCCGTGCACTGCAACGACGAGTCCCGGGACTTGGAGCCCGCTGGGTGTGTGACGGTTCAGCATGGGATCCTCGGGATAGACTGCTTCGTCTCCCGCTTCAGGATCAGGTGCGAATCCGGGGCCGTAGCGTTCTGAAATGTCGGTGTTGACGGGTTGGGGTGTTACGTAACCAGTGTCGGCGAAATGGTAGTAGACGTCGGCATTGTTGCTGTCGCGAGGATTTTCCTCGTCCATGGGGATTGGGACAGAGCAGTAGGGAAGGGGTCCAGCAGCTTCGGAGGCGCCGTCGACGTTTTCTTCTTCCCAGTCAGCAGCGTCGGAGGGTGAAATGAAGGCTCGGGAGCAAGAAAATCCGCCGGTGGGGTCGACGTGGCGTGCGATGTTGTCCAGGGAATGGTTGAGGGTGAGTCGCTCGTAGAAGATAACGTCACGTGCTGCTACTATTTCCTTTGTGTGGACGTCAAAGATTCGCCAGGATTCGTAATGTTTTGCCAGCCCGAGGTGTAGACCCCACTGTGCAAGTTGCGAAAATCTCCCTGCGCGTGCAGTGTGTGGGCGGTACTGTACCATACACCCAAAAACTCTTAACATTTTTGTGTTGCCCAGCTTCCCAGTCCACAACAGGTGCGGAGATGCATTATTGGGCAGTGAAGACGAGGACAGCAAGTTGTGCATGTGAGAGTTGTAGAACAGGAATGAAAATGACTAAGGGAAGATTGGTACAAATACAACCCTAGAAACCAGTACCCCATATGAGCTACCCCACTATAGCCTACAGTAACTATGTCATATAAATCTGACACACCCCCATAGGCAAAGTGGGGGAGAACAAGGGGTCACAAGACCAGTCAAGCAAAACAAAGCAAAGCTCAGGGTGGATCACAAAGTCACCACACAGTCCGAGCACAAGAGCAAGGCCACAAGGCCAGTTCACATGCAGGAGTACACACATATATATATATAAAGCTAAACAAGCAAGAGCAGGTATATATATATGTGACAGTACAAGTAAAGTCAAGAGGAGAGCAAGTGAGGGAAGACAGGTACAAGACCCAGCTAGGTGCAGAAGCGCTGATGGTCACAAGGCGCGAGTGCCTTGGTGAACACATCAGCAGTGTTGGCCTCAGAGGCCACGTACGCAAGCCGCAACTGTCCACGCTGCTGTAGCTCACGAGCAAGGAAGTAGCAAAGAGCAATGTGCTTCGTTATGTGCTCCAGACTGCTGCTCTCGACACAAGGCCAGCATGGCCTTGTTGTCTACGTACAGCACTGGAGGAGAACGAGGCGGCTCTCCAAGGTCAGTCAGCAGGTAGGTGAGCCAGCGAAGCTCCTGTGCAGCCATGGCCCCTGCGTAGATCTCAGCCTCACAGCTGGAGCTGAGAACCGAAGACGAGCGAGTAGCCCGCCACGAGACAGAGCCGGAACCAAGGCTGAAGGTGTAACCCTGTGACGACCGCTGCGTAGCCTGGTCGTCAGCCCAAGAAGCGTCCGCGTGTCCTGTAAGGACCACTGGACTCCGCCCTCCAAGCACTAGCCCCATGCCCGACGTACTGCACAGGTAGCGCAATACCCTCTTCGCTGCAGCCATGTGCTCTGGTCTGTGTCTCCCAGGAGCAACATAGCGTGCAAGAATGCTCAGAGGGTATGCAAGGTCAGGTCGTGTACAGGTCATCAGGTACATGAGGCAGCCAACAAGCTCTGCATACGGACCACTCGACTCTACGGACTCATCCGAAGGCAGAGCTGAGAGCGAGTGGCGAGTAGATAGAGGAGTGGCCTGAGGCGAGGAGTACGTGAAGCCGAAGCGCTGAAGGACCTGCTGCACCATGTGTGACTGAGTCAAGGTAATGGTGCGGCGTGCTCTGTCCCGAGTGATCTGCAAGCCAAGATAGATGCGCAGTTCACCCAGGTCTGTGCACGTGTGTCTCTTCAGCAGCTCGGACTTCACGTAGGCGAGTCCAGCAGTGTCCGCTGTGGCAAAGACCAAGTCGTCGACGTACACGAGGATGTAGAACGGCGGAAAGAAGTGTCGGTGCGAAGAAACAGCGACGGGTCAGCAGTAGAAGGAGCAAACCCAAGAGCCGCAAGCGTAGTCCTCAGTGTGTCGTGCCACTCACGCGGTGCCTGGCGGAGACCGTAGACTGGCCGTCGGAGGCTCCACTGGGTGCCAGGAGGGAAAGTCGCAGTGAAGCCAGGTGGACGGCGCAGCTAGATCTCCTCGTGCAGGCTACCCTGCAAGAACGCAGTGCTGAAGTCGAGAGAGTGAAGCTCGTAGTCGCGCTGAGCGGCTATGTGCAGCAACACCCGAAGAGTGGTCATCTTTGGGGTGGGAGAGAAGGTCTGAAAGTAGTCAACTCCCTGCCGCTGACTGAAGCCACGAGCGACGTACCGCGCCTTGAAGATAGGTGGAGAGCCCGGCGGCCGCTTCACCCTGAAGATCCACATGCCACTGACGATGTTCGCCCCAGGAGGGGGAACCGCGTCAACGTAGGTGCCTGTGGACTTCCAGGAAGCCATCTCTGCATCCATAGCTGCCTGCCACTGAGAGGAGTAGGGACCCTCTACGGCCTCCGCATAAGAGCGCGGAGTCGAGATGTCTAGTGCATCCGGGTCTCCCTCAGGAGCAAGCAGTACAGACGCGAGATGAGGTGAAGCAGCAGCCAGACACTGGAACTCCTCCTACCTGTCCTCTAGGACGTCCGTGCCAAGAGCACACTCACCCCCGACGGACGGAGGACAGACAGACGCAAACTCAGCTACAAGACTGACAGCGTAGTCTAGACGACAGCGAGCAGCAAAGTCGACGAGCTCAGCGACAAGAGCAGACGCAGCAGCGGACTCAAAAGAGGGGCCAGTGACGACAGTAGCAAGTAGACGAGTGACAGTAGGACTGGCAGCACGAAGGGAGTCCGACTCAGGGTCGGCAAGCGCAGGAAGAGAGGACTTAAAAGGAGAAGGCAAAGGGGCACGCAGAGGAGCAAGTGGAGGGACGCAGAGACATCCGGTGTGTGCCAGGGACAGGAGGAGGACGCTGACGCGAACCGCGACCACTAGCGCGAGCAGCACGAACAGGCGACGCGGGACGAGACGCAGGCTCACGACGCTCAGCCAGACCCCCAGTAGGACCAGTGTAAGGAGAGAGAGCAGGCAGTGGGGAGGTAGGCTCCAGCAGTGACTGCGACTGGACAGGCTGTGGACACTCTACAGGAGGAGAAAGACCAAGAACCTGCTGTAGGAGCGGAACGAAGTACGGCCGAGGCCGCGCGGCAACTCCAGACTCAGCAGGGACAACACCAGCACACTCAGCGGCAGCACCAGCGCCACCAACACCTCCAGCGGCAAGACCTCCAGCAGTACCAGCAGAAGGACCACCGCCAAGACAGACAGCAGTAGTCTCAGCACCAACACCCTCAGCAGCTCCAGCTCCAGTAGGACCCGCAGGCCCAGCAGCTCCGGGACCGGCGGCACCAGCACCCCCGACGGTCGGGGAAGCTCCAGCTCCAGCAGTACGCCTCCAGCGGCGAGCGAACCACTCGCGCAGCTCCTGCAGAGAGAGGGGCTCCCGCCGAGACGGAGCACTAAGAGAAACCCCAGGCGCAGTAGCTCCAGACGCAGCACCCCCAGGCTCAGCAGCTCCAGACACAGCACCCCCAGGCTCATAAGCTCCAGACTCAGCACCCCCAGGCTCAGCAGCTCCAGACTCAGCACCCCCTAGCTTAGAAGCTCCAGGCACAGCACCCCCCGGCTCAGCACCCCCAGGCTCAGCACCCCTAGTAGCAGCACCTCCAGGCTCGGCACCCCCGTGCACAACACTCCCAGAGTCAGCACCCCCAGGCTCAGCACCCGCAGCAGCACCAGAGTCACCAGTAACCTCGACAGGGTCAACTGCGTCTACCTGGGACACACATGAGGGGGCAGGAACCTGAGGGGGAAGGGGGTCTACCGGGGGGGGAACCGGCACAAGGAAGTCCGGCGGCGGGGGAAGGGAAGGAGTGCGGTAGGGGAAGAGGCGGTAGAAGGGGACTGACTCGTCGAACGTGACGTCCTGGGAGGACAGCACACGACGAGAGGAGGGGTGGTAGAACTGCCACCCTGGAGCGTCAGGGGGGAAGCCAAGGAAGACACAGGGAGCAGCACGAGGAGACAGCTTGTCCGCAGACAAGTCGCGGACAAACGCCCGAGACCCCCAGACACGGAACGCAGACGCATCGCCGACCTTACCCGTCCACAGCAAGACTGGGGACATCGCGGGCCGAGAGACCCTGGGGTGAAGGTTGAGCTGATGCGTTGCGTACCGAACCGCAAACGGCCACAGAAAATGGGGGGTAGCCGCATGCATCATGGACGTACGAGCGACATCCATGACCATGCCAATGCGGCGCTCTGCAATCCCATTTTGCTGTGGAGAGTCCGGAAGCGTAAAGGTCTGGCGGATGCCCTGTGCTCGACAGTAGTCCTGGAGAAGACGAGAGGAGAACTCCCCACCACGGTCAGAGTGCAGACGCAGAACAGGAAAGTCCGAGCCGAAGCTCCTCCTGAGCTGGAGACGAGCCTCGCGGATCCAGTCGATCAGCACCTCAGTGACCGCACCCTTGCTGCGCAAGGGGAGGACTGTGGTGTAACGCGAGTAGTCGTCAACCACCAACAGGAAGTAGCGCTCGTAACCCTGCCCACGGACGGGGGCTGGGCCCCACACATCCATGTGAAGCGTCTGCAGGGGAGCCTCTGTCGGGGGGAAGTGGGAGGAGTGAGGAGTAGCCCGGAGGCGACCCTCGACACAGGGGACACAGGAAGGTCCTGGCCCGGAGGGGAGAGGAGGGAGAGACTGGGGAAGACCAGAGACAAGGACACGGGAAGCCATGCCCCGAAGACGGGACAGGGAGGGGTGGCCAAGACGGTGGTGCCACAGGAGAGTCTCGTGAGACAGGAGGCGACACGAACAGGGGGCAGACTCAGGGCCAGACCGGGACGCAGCAGCAAACACCTGACCTGACGCAGCTACCTGACCAGACGCAGGGACAGGAGGAGACTCAGTGGTCACGGTGTAGAGGCTCGACCCCGGCCGACGCGAGAACGTGGCCAGGTGGCGGCCTGTGCGTGCGTCCTTGCAGTGGGTCACCCGCTGACTCGCAGGAGTGAACTGGTGAACTCCCGCATCCTGTAGGTCCGCACCACTCACCAAGTTCGTCGAGAACGAGGGAAGGTACAGACCAGACAGGGTGCACGAGGGGGCAGCCAGACACGGGAGGACAGTGGAAAAGTGAGAGAGGACAGGACCCCCAGAGGGGTCAGCCAGGGAGACCGCAACCGGCCGACCAAGCGGCGTGAGGGTGGTGCGGTCTCGAAAGAAGGAGCGAGAAGCCCCTGAGTCAAGTGTGAAGGTGAGGGAGGACGAAGGCGACGCAGTACCTGAGAGCGCAGTCTTACCAGTACCTGAGAGCGCAGACGCACTGGCACCTAGAGCAGCAGCCTCACAAGCACCTAGCTCAGCAGTACCAATGCCCGGGTCGGGCGGGAAACACCGGTAACAGTCACCCTCCTCACTAATAGTCACAGCATACATAGCAGCAAGAATAGCATCAAAGTCAAGATCAAAGATCGCTACACCAGCCCTAGAAAGCTCATCCCAGTGGGGAATCTCACTAGCCTCGGGGAACTGCTGACGCCAAGCGTCCGTCAGGCGGCCAAAGCAGCGCTGGGTGGGGTGGGCACCCCGACACTGCTCACCAGCGCGGTCGGCGGAACGAAGGACGTAGGTGCACGGACCAGCACCCCCACCCCTCTTACGGCGAGTGTACCACTCATGAAGCTGCTGGGGCGGAGGGATGTCCCGCGAACGCTGCTGTTGCTAGCGCTGACCACTACCAGAGCCGCTCCGCTGCGGGGCACCACCCCGACCAGCTCCACCTCCTCCGCGAGCACCTCTTCCTCCTCCGCCTCCACCACCGCCACCACTCCCACCGCTGCCGCCACCGCCGCCGCCTCCTCCGCTGCTGCCACCACCACCACCGCCTCCGCCACCACTCCCGCTGCCACCCCCACTCCCTCCGCCGCCTCCACCGCCACCTCCACCGCCTCCTCTTGCTCCACCCGCACCCTTGCCCCCCTTGCCCTTGCCAGAGCGGCGTCTCCCACTAGGGGCAGACGCCGCGCCGACCGACTCAAGACCAAGCAGGTCGGCAGCAGCAGCAGAGGCAATAGAGGGCAGCAGGGGGGAAGGAGAGCACCCCTCAAAGATGGGGGTGCGAGGGTCACCACGAGAAGCCCCTACAGCGACAATGCTCTTCTCCGCCGCTAGGAGGGCCTTCTCGAGGAGGTCAACAGTGAGGGTGGTGGGACAGACTGAGAGAAAGTGGTTGCTGACTACGCGAAGGGAGTCAGGGAGGCGTGCGACTACGTAGTAGAGAGTGATTTACATGGAGGGGGGGTTCGTGGTGCAGAACTCAGCAGGAAGGGCAGCGCGGTAGCGAGTGTCACTAGTGTGGAGGTGCGTAATGAGGTCAGCGACAGTGGGAAAGGCAGTGAGGTCAGGGAAGAGGTAGGGTAGCATGAGACGGCTCAGTGCAGCAGTGGCAGGGGAGGAGTAGCACGCAACTACAGCGTCGTACAAGGTCTGAGCACTCTTGTACCGACTAAAGTGCGCGCGCTCAATGGTGGGCAAGTGGCGACGCACAGCAAGACGTGCAGCAGCATCGCGGGTGGCCCACTGAGAGCGAACAGTGGGGTCAGCATCAACAGCAGGAGCAGGAGAGGCGCCAGAGGTGAGGTCAAAGAGAGAAAGACCGTCTGCCCTATTGCACTGCAAAAACAACTGCAGGTCGTCGACCCAGACCTCAAAGTCAATGGCTCTGCCCTCAGCGTTAAAAGCTAGGACACTGGGGGTAGCCATGACGACAGACTAGCAGTGCAAGCAGTGGGGAAGGGCACGCAGTAGCAGTAGGGCAGTGCTGTGCTCACCAGACAGTGCAGGTAGGGCGACTCGACGGCTGCAGGGCGGCTCGGCTGCGGCTGGGCGGCCAGGCTGCTGCTGGGCGGCTCGGCTACTGCTGGGCGGCTCGGCTGGTGCTGGGCGGCTCGGCTGCGCCGGGGCGGCTCGGCTGCTGCTGGGCGGCACGGCTGGTGCTGGGGCGGCCCGGCTGCTGCTGAGCGGCTCGGCTGCGGCTGGGCGGCTCGGCTGCAGCTGGGCGGCTCGGCTGCTGCTGGGCGGCTCGGCTGCGGCTGGGCGGCTCGGCTCTGGCTGGGCGGCTCGGCTGCTGCTGTGCCGCGTATGTAGGGCGGCTGTAGGGCCGCGAGCAGAGCGGCGGGTAGGCCGCGGGTAGAGCGGCAGGTGGGCCGCTGGTAGGGCGGCGACGGGCCGCAGGGAAATCGGCGGGCGGGATGCAGGTAGGGCGGCAGGTGGGCCGCTGTTAGGCGGCCGTGGGTAGGGCGGCAAAGGGCCGCCGTTGAGGCGGCTGTAGGGCCGCCGTTGAGGCGGCTGTAGGGCCGCAGGTAGGAGGCGGCGGGGCCGCGCCAGGGCAGGGTGGCCGCGACGAGGCGGTGGGGCCGCGAGTGATGGCGGCAGGGCCGCGTCGGAACGGGCGGCGGGGCCGCGTCTGAGCGGGCGGCGGGGCCGCGCCGGAGTGGGCGGCGGGGCCGCGTCTGAAAGGGCGGCGGGGCCGCGTCCGAAAGGGGGCGGCGGGGCCGCGTCCGAGATGGGCGGCGGGGCCGCGTCTGAAAGGGCGGGCGGGGCCGCGGTCGAAGTGGGTGGCGGGGCCGCGTCTGAAAGGGCGGGCGGGGCCGCGTTTGAGAGGGCGGCGGGGCCGCGTCTGAGAGGGCGGCGGGGCCGCGGTCGAATTGGGCGGCGGGGCCGCGTCCGAAAGGGGCGGCGGGGCCGCGTCTGAAAGGGCGGGCGGGGCCGCGTCTGAGAGGGCGGCGGGGCCGCGTCTGAAGGGGCGGCGGGGCTGCGAGGAAAGGGCGACACGGAGGGTCGCTCGAGAGAGAGAGGAAAAAAAAAAGTTAGCGCGCCTCGGGGCGCGCTTCGGTGGGCCCTGGGCGAAGTTCCCACAGGGAACCCGCTCTATACCATGTGAGAGTTGTAGAACAGGAATAAAAATGACTAAGGGAAGATTGGTACAAATACAACCCTAGAAACCTGTACCCCATATGAGCTACCCCACTATAGCCTACAGTAACTATGTCATATAAATCTGACAGTGCAGGAGGACAGCATGGTCCATCGCTGCTGGCCATTCTGAGTTGGGCAGTCGAGTTCCACGTAGCAGCTTTCGCATGGTTGTCTGCAGCGTCCTGTTCATCCTTTCTGCCACACCCTGCTGTTGGTGAGCGTAAGGAAGAGAGATGAGGCGTTTGATGCCTCTTTTTGCCAAGAACCGTGTGAAGTTGTGTGACTGGTACTCCTTTGCGCCATCTGACTGAAAACTCTTCAATTTTGCTCCCGATTCTTGTTCAGCGACAGGTAGCCAGGCTGTGAAGGCTTCTAGGGCCATGTCTCGTGACGGTAAGTTGACGTGCCAGACATATCGCGTTGCGGCGTCGATGAAGGTGATGGCGTAGTTCAGATCTGCACGTCCTTCAGTTCGAGGTATGTAGAGGATGTCGCTGTAGACTTTCTCGAGTGGTTGGTAAACTGGGGCGCTTGGGTTGTGATGTGACGGAAACGGTTGGTGAGGCAGATCTGCTTCCGGGCAGATGAAGCAAGTACCGCGTGGTCGTTCGAGTTCACGTCCGTTGGGAAGCAGTAGGGCGTTCTTGTCTAACACTCTGGCTTGTATTGTGTTGTAAAGTGTTTTGTTTCCAGGATGTCCAAGGCGTTGATGCCAGATATCTTCGGAGGCGCTGTGACCGACGGAGCGTTGATAGAAGTCTGCGTTGGCGAAGAAGGCGGCGTGTGTTGCTGCACTTTGATGAACGGCGCGTGGTGTTGGCGTTAACTATTGGGCGGCTGTCGGTGGCGTGTTGATGATGAGAGGTGGTAGCGCGACGGAGGGACCAGGCTGTGGAGTTTCGGAAGGTTGCTCCGCGACGACGGTTGGTTCTTCAACTGCAGGTTCGGTGGTTGTTGGTGCTATGACGGGTGCTGTTGTTGTTTCGATGACGGGTGCTGACTCAGGTGTTGTTGCTTGTGTTTGCAGGACGGCAAGCGCGTTGGTGGGTTCAGCTTCGGGAATGGTATGAGAGTACCAGAAGCCTTCAGGACTGAAGTTCGGGTCGAGGTCTGGCGGATGCGTCCAGGGTGCGAGAGCGACTATGCCGTCGCTGTCAGCGGTACCTTTGTCGGGGACGAAATCGAAGACGAATACGTCGTCTTGTTGGATTGTACGACCGATGAAGACCCCCCCTTTTCGGTGGTAAAGACGGATTTCCAGGGCGTCGGAGTCGCACTCCAGGTGAACGCCTTTCGACATGAGTTGGCTGACGCTCAGCAAGTTGAAGCCGAGGTTGTCGACGACGAGTACTTTGTTTAGTTGAATGATCACGTTTGTTTCGTTTGAATGAAGCTCCACGACTCCTTGTTTGTTGGTGCGCAGGTTTTCGTTGTTGGCGACAGTGATGATGACGTCTTGCGGAAGGCGTCGTTCGCGCTGAAGAAATCGTGATGAGGAGCACATGTGATGACCACAACAGCTATCGAGGAACCATTTGTCTGGTCCGGTGGGTGCTCTGTTCGCGATGGCGGCGTACGTTGGATTCACGTTAAGGGACGACGGTGGTGGTGATGGTTGCTCGTCAGGATTGTAAGTCGGTGGTGAGCCGGTAATACACGAGTCGATGTTTGACTCTGTTGTTCGTGTCATGGCGACGATTCTTGATGTTTGTGCAGGTCCCGAAGTCGAAGTTGACGGTCGCGTTGAAGTAGTCGTTGAGGCGGGTAGCGGGTCGTTGTTGAGTTGACGCGATGTGGGGAGGCGCGGGTCGCAGAGGACGGGAGAATGGTGCTGGTTGTCGTTGTTGCTGAGGGCAGTTGAAGCGTGTATGCCCTGAAGTCCGACACAGATGACAGTAAGGAGGTACGTGTCCTCGGTTTTGGTAACGTGGCTGTCGTCAATTGGTGTAAAGAACAACTGGTTGATGATGCCTTTTGTTGTTGCGTTCTTCGAACAGGTCCATTTCCTGCTGTTCGGCGTGACGTTTGGCGCAAAGATGCATTTCGGAGAGTCGACCGTGAGCGCAAAGAAGTGAACGGGTGGTGCGCCATTGAGGTCCAAGGCCGGCAAGAACGACGGTTACGAAAGCTTCTTCAGATAAGTTTCCTCCGCAGCGAATAAGTCTGTCGCGTAGTCCTTGACAGCGACTGATGTAAAGCATGGCCTTTTCTCCAGGTTGCATTTGAACTGTTGTCAGTTGTGCCATAAGTCGGATTTGTGTAGCACTGTCGGATGCTTGATGAATGCTTCGCAGATGTTGATAGGCGAGTTCCGCGGAGTTTGCGTAGTTCCGGTAGGCGCGGATGCTTTGTTGTTCGTTCGGCGACAGGTTTCGGAGAAGAACGGTGTAAGCCATCAGGGAGTGATACGTATAATTTTCTTTGTCCTTGTCTTCGCCGTTGTGTGGATATGGCCAGGTACCGTTGAAGAATCCAAAGAGATTTGCGCCTTCCATCAGGAGTTCAAACTCGAAGCTCCAAGAGTAGAAGTCTTTCCCGTTGAATGGTGTGGATGTGTGCAGTCGCAGGATGTTGTTGAACTGCGCTTGTACTTGCAGGTTTTCTTCGGTGTCTCGTTTGATGGCGGGAAGAGGAGTCGCTGGATGGCGAGGCGGCATGAACGTGAAGGAACCAGGTGAGACCGAATTTGGTGTTTGTTGATTATGTCGTCCGAACGATGAGTTGTCAATACTCATTGGTGCCGCTCCGTTGTTTACGCTGTTGCTGTTTGCAGGTTGTGAGGACTGCTGCTGCGACATGAAGTTGAAGAACTCCTCCATTAAGCTTGGGTTGAAGATTGGTGGCGGCGCTACTGGCGCTTGAGTAGAACGTTCCGTCGCTTCCGGTGTTAATCCGGGCGTTGTTCCTCCTTCGGTCTGCAACTCGGAGACTGGGGGTAGAGTAGATCTCGTGGATGATCTTCTTTCTTTGCCACTTGCCATGTCTTGCCTTTCTTGAATGAAGATTGATCTTCTTGGTTGCTTGCAGATTGGTAGCCTGGAAGAGGCTTAGTGACGCTTGGCTTTGAGCCTGCAATGTGAGCCACAATCGACTCACAATCAAATTACATCGTAGGTCTTATGAATGACCTCACCACTTACCACATTCCAAAACAACAAAATCTTATGGTCTTTGAAGAAATAGTACCAGTATCAAAGACCTAGAGGAGGCATTGTTGTGCTCCTTTGTGTTTGTCGCAAGCATGCCGCCGCCTAAGGCACATTGCAAACACACTGTGAACGCCTTGGGACTTGCAGTGTTGATTCTGGCCACTCCAGCCACCTTGGTTCGGCCCGAATCCCAACCACCAACTACCCCAGCTTGCAACCTCCACCAGCCCCACCTCCCTGCATGCCATGTCTGGGAAGGCGACTGCTAGAAGCAGCTGCACAGAGATACGGAAAGGGGAAGACAAGGTGGGGCGTTGCAGTGCAAGAAGTTGATTCCTCGAGAGGAAAGAGGGGAGGGGGGGGGGGGGGGGGGGGAGGGGGAGGGGGAGGGGGGAGAGAATCGGGTGAGAGCAGGTGGTCATGGTGCCGGTGATGTGGGGGAGAGGGAGAGGTGGTGTCCAAGGGTGCGATGGCTACGGTGGTGCTGCTTGGGTGGGATGGTGGGGAGCAGATGGGAAGGTGATGGCGGGCAGAGGACGAAGACCTGAGCTGGGGAGGGACAGCTGGTTCATGCAGAGGGTGGAGGAGGAGGATAATGCGTAAGGGGAGGATGAAAAAAGGCGTGGGTTGGGCGGT